CGTGTAGCGAAATATGATCTAGAATCAGTTACGCGTCTAATTTGCTCGTTTTTTCCTCTCGAATTTCTATGTGAGATCAAAAGGAATCAAGTATATCCACTGACTTAGTTCCATAGTTAATTTTTGATTTCGAAATTTCTGTGCCTCTTTTGATTTGAACAAAGTTCAATTTAGGTTTAGCTTTACTTTATTGTTCCAATTTCGGCGAATAAACTGTTGTAGGAGCTATGATAAATAATAGGAGATGTAGATTTGCTGCAACTGTTCCAATTACTGCTTTGATGAGCTTCGATTTTCCCAGCTTTGATTCATGCTCTGGAAATCGTGTTCTATCTTTCCATTTTTTTCCCAGATTTGATTATAGTGCTTGCATTTTGATTTTGCTTTCAGGTGAACTGCCTCTCTCTGCAACATCAAACAAAGGGAAAGAGAAGAAGAGATTAACTGTCGATGGTAAAATCACTAATCCGAACCATTGTATTAGAGACAAAATATGGGTCTAAATGGTAGTCAATTTTTGGAATATATTTGTTCTGTTTCAGAGAGACGCATTAAGAATATTGACAAAAAGCTGAAGAAAGAGAAAAGCAAAGTTTTAGAAGCTGAGAGTACGAACGAGTTTTTGGGAGGTCTCATTTCGTCTGATGAAGATGTTGAAGTCGGTAGAGGTACGTAATCTGCAGATGAATTGCTTGTTCTGAATTTTACAAATGTTTAATTCTCTGTGTTTTTTTTGTTTTGCAGGGTTCAAGTCTGGCACGGGCAATTCAAGGGCCAAGAAACGTAAATTGAGGGCTCTCAACAATGCTGCTAAGAAATTGGCCAACAAGTAAATTCTGCAACACGAAAAAGCCCATGTATTCCCCATTTAATATCTAGCCCATTAACCGTTAGTCCTCTTGGTATAAGAAGGACCGTACACTCCTTTTTTTCTTCTCTCTGTTTGTTGACATTTTCCCGTTTACTATATAGATATGTTGACGTTACTAGTGTACACACGATCTAAATAATCCATTTAGAAAGGAACCAAAAAAGACAAAGACATATCTATCATCTTGAGATTGAATTAAACAACATAATTGTAGAGGGTAAACCAAATCATAATTCATCTATAAGGTCATTGTTGCTTTGATTACCAGAACCGTCTAATACCATTCACCAACTAAAAAAAAAGCAATCAGAAATCTCTAGCTAGCGTTAAATATATGATCGATTTTTACATCAA